TGATTTCTCTATAGTTGTTGCAATTTTGGACATATCTTTTATTCTTATAGATTGGCATTAAAATGCTATTTTTCCACTCCTCTGGCATTTTCCTAGTCAACAAAGTCTTACTAAATAACCTAGTCAACCAAGCAACCTCTTTTTTACCCAAACATTTTCAAGCTTCAATAGGGATATCATCGGGTTCTAAAGCCTTATTCTATTTCATCTTCTTAAGTGCAATCTCTACTTCAAACTTCCTCTCTTTTTGACCTTCCTCTATGTTCCTCATTTAACAAATTTTTAAAATAGTTCTTATACCTCTTTTTAATCTCTTCATCCTTTACCAACACCGTAGAGTGCTTACTGTTGATGCACTTAACCTGATTAAAATCTCTTGTTTTCTTCTTTCTTATCTTAGCAAGTTTGTATATTCTCTTCCCTCCCTCCTTACTATCTAGTTTAGTGTATAGGTCATCATATGTTTTCAATTTAGCAGTTTTCACTACTTTTTTGATTTCCTTATTAGCCAATCTATAGCTCTTAAGGTTTTCCTCAATTCTATTCTTTTGTCACTTTTTAAAGCACTCTTTTTTCGTCTTGAACCAAATTTCCTTAGAGTTGGGTCTCTTTCCTTTCTACTCTCTAAGGATTTCTCTTGAGATTCTTCTCAAACAATTGGCCATCGAGTTCCACATAGTGTTAGTATCATCTTCCAAGTCCCAAGTACCTTCTTCAACCATTCTATTCTTAAATATTTCTAATTTATCCGTTTTTAGGTCCCACTATCTCATCCTATGATGCTCACTATCCTTCCTAGTTTGGTATTGCCCTTTGAAGCATAAATCTAGTACCAAAATCTTATGTTAAGAAGTTAGGGTCTCTCTAGGAATCACTTTACAGTCTCTGCATTTTAGATGGTCCACTTTTCTTACTCGAAAGTAATCTACGTAACTATTAATTGACCCACTTTTAAAGGTTATCAAATGCTTCTCTCTCTTCTTACACATAATATTGGCCACTACCAGGTCAGAAGCCAACGTAAAATCTAAAATATTCTCTCCAACTTCATTTCTATCACCAAAATTATACCCACTATGCACCCTCTCATGACCTAGTTTATTTATTCCTACATGGTCATTAAAACCTCCACCTATAACAAGGTTCTCTCCTATGCGTATCTTTTGTAGTAACTCATCCATTTGGTCCAAAATTCTCTATTAGTCTGATCATCTAATCCTACTTGGAGGACGTATGCACTAATAACGTTCAGTATATTTTCTCCAATAACAAGTTTAACTAGCATAGTCCTATCACCTTTCCTAATGACCGCAACTACATTTTCTACAAGACCCTTGGCAACTATTATTTCTACCCCATTCCTATGTCTATCTTTACCACTATAATATAGTTCAAACCCGATATCCTTTATTTCCATAGGTTTTTCATCCGTCCACTTAGTTTCTTGTGTGCAAGTTATACTAACTCTCTTCCTAATCATGACATTTACTAATTCCATAGTCTTACCAGTTAAAGTTCCTACATTCCATGTGGCTATCCTCAACCTATAGTCTTGGGCTAGCTTCTTTATCTGCACTTGTCCAGAAAAATGCGAAAACCTTTGCTCATTTTTCACCGCACCCAGGCATCGATGTGGCGCCCCTTGCTCGTTTTTCGAAATACCTGGAGACAGGCGCAATGCGATTGTGCCATATCATCACTCCAAGAAAAATCATTCTTACTAATGTTTAGATGACTTACGCCCCTTGCTCATTTTTCGAAACATCCAGAGACAGGCGCAACGCGATTGTGCAATGTCATCACTCCAAGAAAAATCATTCTTCCCAATGTTTAGATGACTTATGTACCACTCATTCACAATAATGTTATTAGCAGCACTTTTGTCCAAAAATTGATTTGTAGTTACCATGGTCTCCCTTTGTAGTGTTGCATTCACTTCAATTTGATTAACCTCCAACGTGTGAACCTCTAGACACTCATAGTATCCATCACGATCTCAACTTTGACATTTTTCCGTTCACCTCTTCATTGTCCTCCCCAAACCTCTTGGCCACCGTAAATTTAGTAACCTCTCCTTCATCAATTTCAACTTTTTTACCGTTATCTAATTGAACTCAATTTTCTACTTCCATTGAGTCTCCATTGGGTCTTCAATTTTTTCAAACACTAGAGTTCTTAAAATCCTTTCTCCTTCATAGTCACATGATAGTTATTAAATTGTAAGAAATGTTGTGAACCAAAATTACCTCAGATTACTTGTTTCAACTCAAGCTTTCTTTGATATTGTTAATTTAACATCTGTCCATGATTTGATTGAAGGATTAGGTGTTGATCAACTTCTTCATCTTATGCCACGTCTTAATGGATTGTTTATACTATCGCCTTTGATCATGCTGCATTTGCCCTTACAATGTAGAAACATAACCTTATAACTTATGTGCAACATATTTGGCTTGCTTTTCTTTATGGATTTCCATGTACTAAAAAATATGTCAAATTTGCGAGACCAATAACTAAATCCTTCATATAGCAAGAAGCATTAAAATTTGGACTTTCTGGTTCTACTTGATCTAAAAAGTCATGACTTATGCGATTATATGCCTATTGAACATGTCATCAAATTTTCTTTACCGTCTTACCAACTAATATTCATCATAATCCTCAAATAACTCATCTTCAAATTTGTTTTCATTATCGATTTGATGATGAGAAGAACATCTAAAGAAGTTTTGGGTAATAGATTGGCTTCAGGCAAATCTCATAGCACGTTTCCTATTAACATTGTATCTAATAGGTAGGCCTTAGGCAAATCTCATAACGTGAATCCTGTTAAATCCTTCCCTACGATCTTCGTTAATAGGGGTTGCTCTTCCTACTCCGATGAGTGAATCCTGTTAAATCCTTCCCTACGATCTTCGTTAATAGGGGTTGCTCTTCCTACTCCGATGAATGACATCGAGCCAAATGCATCATTGCTTTGATACCACTTGACGCAGTGAATTATCATCCATAACTAGATATCGTTCTAGCTAATGAAGAATCCCAAATTGATGGAAAGAAAACTTTGAATTCACGAGGAAGAGAGGAATTCTCAAAAAGAAATTGAATATTATTGGTAAAAGTTGAATTTTCCTTAGCAGTGTTATCAATGGCACGTCTATGGGCGCTAAGGCGCACTTGAGTTGCCTCAACATTTTTGAGGTGAGGCAACTTTAATGAAGCACGACTGAAGCGCATAAAGTGCAAGGTGCAAAGAGTCGCATGCCTTTTTAAATAGTGCCTAATTTGTTAAAGATGTGATATCAACCCCTTGATCTAATGAAGCCCATTATAGTTTTATATGTTGCTCACATCCAATCAAAGTCCTCCTAATGAATAGGTAGCCTCAATCTCAGATAACAAATTGAAGATAAATGCATAAACCTTTTTATTTTGGCTTACATACCATCAGTGTGTTTGGTTTCAGTTTTCTGAAAATTGAATTTTTTTTTGTTTTTAGTGAATATTTTTAAAATTTTAAGCAATTTTTTTTACTCTTTTAGATGCACCTTATTTAGATGTATCTAAATAGTAAAATATTTCTGAAAAAATATTTTAAAAAATTAATAAATATACAAAAATACGAAAAAATGTACTGAATTTTCGTTTTTTTGTTTTTGTTTTTGTTTGGTATTTAGTGAATTTTTTAAAGATTTTTTTCACAAATATTATACTTTTTAAGTGTATTTATGTTAGATGTGTTTAAAATTAAAAAAATTGCTTAAAATATTAAGAAAATTCATTGAAAACAAAAAAATATGAAAAATAAAAAACTAGAATTTTCTGAAAAGTGTTTTCTGAAAACCAAAATCAAACAAGCTATTTTTATTTTTTATTTTTATTTTTATATTTGTTAAATGACTTCATTTGCTTAATTTTTTTTATTTACTTAATTTGTCTAAATCTTTAAATGTTTCATTAATTAATCAATTGATTTATTTTATAATTGCTTAACTACTTTTAATTGTTTAATTTGAATTTACTTCATTTAACATTGTAGATGTGCTGCAAAAACAATGTAATGTACTGGGTGATAATAATCTCATGTGAAAATAACTTCAAGGGGTTGGCCTAATGGGCACAACTTGGGATTTGGGGGTGTGCTCCCTCCAGGTCTCAGGTTCAATACTCACAAGTTGCAATAAGCTTCTTGGGGCTAATCCATACAGGGCGTTTTCTTTGGCTTTAAATGGGGCCCTCGCAAGTGGTTAGTGGAATTGGTCCCCCGTGATTAGTTAGGGTGCGTGTAAGCTGGCATGGACACCCAGTTATCAAAAAAATCTCATGTGAAAATACAATGTTTTATTAGTTAGCACATGGTAGATAAAACACAATAAATTTCTCCTACTCATAAAAAACTATGTAGTCTCTATAACATGCGCGTTGCTTCAATGAAGCCTGTGCCTCACCTCGTGCTTAAGCCCCAAGAGATCTTGGCGACTCAGTGTGCCTCTCACCTTGAATAACACTGGCCCTTAGGCTTACAAAGTTATTTATACTAAACCAAGTTCTAGAGACCAAATAATCTAAAAATAGGAAACAAACTAAATCAAGCAATTTAAAAATTAAGAAAAAAAAATCTATACAAATTAAGAAACCTAATAATTATAGGATATTTATATCAAATTATTAGATTTTTAATAAAATATAGCTTAAAAATGATATAAATATAAATATAAAAATTATGAAAATATTGTTCTACATCAAGGTTTCCATGGCGCATGCCACCTTCCACAAACATCACTCATTGCTAGGACCCATGATTACTTGCTATATATCCTTTGTATTGCAGTTTTATTTTTTTTAAAATTCTTGTCAATAGTCATTTTATTTGTAATGGCAGTTAAGTTTGGACTAATCCCAACTAAGGATTTAGGAAAGTACAAGTTTAGTTCACATTGAGTTTGCACTGATATCATGGATGATAGTAATCTCATATTTGTTTTTAACTTGTTCCTTAGGTGATCGTGACAGAGAGGGCAGGGCATGCATTTGATGTGATGTCCTCTATTACAAATAAGGAGATAAATTCATATGATGGAGTTATAGCTGTTGTAAGTGAATTCCCTCAATTTATCATTTACAAACTGTGAGTTTTGATGATATATTGATTGTTGGCTTGATATATAAGGAATTCTCGCAAGCTACGGCAATGCATAAATTTTCTCTTGTGCATTTGGAGCTTCTTTATTTGTAGTGATGATGATGCTTCACTCTTTATAATTGCATGGGAAATTGAAAGCAAACTATGCTATGACATCTTCTTACAGTTCTAATGGTTTCTTGCTTTCCATCTTTAACCATGAAATCATTCAAGCAAAGAAGGTAACTAGAGAATATGCATGAGACATGAGAGTGCATGATTTGAAATTTCTTTAGAAGTTTTGATCTTCAACTTTGGTTTTGGGTTAGAGGAGACATTGATTTTTGAATCAATTATATTTTGTTGAATGTTGGTAAAATAGCTGTGAAGCATGGATATTCCAAAAATTATGACCTAATGAGTACCGAGTAGGGTATGCATACCAATATGGCTGCATGCATACTGGGTATGCAAAATACGCATTTGATACTTTCTAAAAAAATTGAATGTTGGGTATGTTGTGGGTAAAGCTTGAGTATGGCATGGGTACATATAAATGTAATTTATAAAAAAATATAAGGGTACTAGAATAAATATAATGTGCCTATTTTTAAAAATTCAAAAAATAAAGGTTACATTTGCAAATATCACAAATTTGAGACAACGCTTAGGGTTCTGTTTAATCTTTACAGATTGAGCAATCCTATCTCTCTATCAGTTAACCTTCTCTCTCTCTCTCTCTCTCTCTCTCTCTCTCTCTCTCGATTGACATTAAACTCTAGTTTTTACCTTTAACTAGTTTTGCATTTTATTTTTGATTGTTATATGTCATGCAATACTACAAATTATAAAAGAAATATATATTTTTATGGGCGTACCCAAGCCATACGTGGATTCTAGTCTTTTTTTTTTTATAAAAGTTTTGCCATATCGGTGTACCTGTACCGTCGTCCATACCTGAATCTATGCTTCATAGGTAAGTAGTTTAATTACTTCATTTATTGAAGAATATAGTGTGTTGACGTGTGTAAATCATGGTTGTTAAAATCGCGATCCGGATCGTAGGATCGTACGATCCTACGATCCTACTTTGCCAAAATGATCCAGATCGTTGTAGGATCGATGTTATAACAGGATCGCATGGGATCGTGTAGGATCGTATGGGATCGTAGGTAGGATCGTAAATTTTATGATTTGTCACCTTATTTTTAATATGTATGATTTTTATTTTTATTTTTATCTTTTTTTTAATAGAAAGTAAGATCTTAGGATCCTCGATCCGATCCTACGATCCGATCCACCAGACCCTCTCACCGATCCTACTTAGGATCCCGATTTTAACAACCTTGGTGTAAATGCATGAATATTGTGTGAGATATTTGTCTCTGACACAACTTGGTGCACTTATTTTTGTAGTTTTCATAATTATCATCCCCCCTTAATTTAATTAAAACACAAATACTCATGTTCCAATTTGAAAAATTAAACAAGGTCTATTTTGTTGCTAAGCTATGGTGTGGCACTCATACTGCCTACATCTATTGATGGTTGATGTTCCTCCTCTTACAAACAAAGGTACTTTGGGAGGCAAAGTGGAGTCCAAACCATAACTGAGAATGCTTTGTTCACGAAATTGGTTCCTGCTCTTTTCTTTACTTGTGGTTAGTAATTGTATAATTTTCTATATTTTTTTTCTTCGCTCGTTATTTGTCACATCACTGATCTTTGAACTTTTACGGCCCACCTTTTTTGAAGTTTGGACATGAGAAAAAAAAAACAGCTGTTTGTTTTTTGTGCTACTGTACCTAGCTTTCTTGAAATCGGAAGAACAAACATAATGATGCCCAGTAAATATTTTTTTGTTCCTTTGTACAAAAAGAAGATATTTTTCTGGTGCTTAAAAATGTGACCTATGGTTCTAAATCACAGTATTGAGAGACAGTGGTATCGGTATTGGGAGTATCGGATGATATGTATTGGGAATTGGGTGTTGCTGGCTTATCAGATTGTTGTCCCAATAATTCCACCCCAGGAAACATCTTACCATTATTAATGTTTTTTCTTATCTTGTGTTTAAAATTAATTATTTACACACACAAAAAAAAGGTGATTAGAGATGAGGCAACAAGTAACCTCACCAAAATTTGAAGAATAGGAAAGAAAACAAAGTTTTCATGTCAAGTGCCTATCCCACATAGGTTGAGTACACTTCCTTATCTTTGTCCTTTCTATATAAAACCACAAGCGCTACCTTCGTTTTTAGCTATGCACTAGTTATCCCACATTGCTGGGAAAGCTTTCTTTCTCCAATCAGTTACTATATAAACTTTAACCATGTGCTATTGAGTAACAAGGGAATGGGTGGGCTTTTGAATGGCCAGCCTGTTAAGTGGCCTAAAGCATTAAAATTTTTGTTTAAAAAAAAAACTGGTCACTATTTATTTGAATCAGCCCAGTTTGCTAATGAATCATAAAGTTAACAAATTCAAGCAGCTAAGTGTCGCGAATTGGCCGGTTTGACCGCATTTTTATTCCACCAATTAAGGTGTGACTGAACCAAAGAGGCCAAAATCCTCTCCGAACATGCCAATACAGTATGAACCACCAGCTTTTCTGAACCATTGTATGACCTCGTTTGTGGTCATTAAGTTGTACCTTCTCTAGAATGATGTTTGTTTGTTGATATGGTTCCATGGTCTTGACGTTTTACCATTTTAACATTAGATTCATATGATGGTTTCTCAATTCTGCATTACCAGCTTCTAATTTGTTCTTCCAGCTCATTTTGAGTTTCTTGGTCGTTTGCATGATGATTTGGTTCCAGGGTGGTGATGGTTTTTTCAATGAGATCCTTAATGGACTTCTCTCTTCAAGGGTTAAAGCTCCTTACCCACCAGCTCCAACAGATTTCATTAATTCTGTTGAGAATGGTGGCAGTGTCATGGTTCATGAGGCAAATGAAATTGTTGCCAAGCCTTCTGATCATAATGGAGAAGACAATTCTCCTCTTCTCCCAGGTTCAACTCTTAGTGAATCAAGACCAACAAATTTCCGTATGTACCACCGCAATAGTACTTCTTTATACAAGTCTTGATTTTTTTCTTTCAAAATAAAAAAAATAAAAAAATACTTATATTGGTACTCATGGTTACAGGAACTGAAGATGGATGTTGTGACACAGGTCAGTTTATTCATATCCATATAGACTAAGGTGATTATACCTAAAATATTTTAAACATGAATATTTATATCAGCAGTGTCTGAGGTCTGATTATTGCATCTTTGTTGCTTTGAGCAGACCAAGGTCCTGAGTTTTCTCTCCCAAACAAATGGTTTAGATTTGGCCTTATTCCTGCAGGCTCTACCGACGCCATTGTAATGTGGTATTTTCTTCTGGTGCCTTGTGTTCTTTAATTTTCTCTGCTTTTAAAGCATAGTTATTCTGTTATTCTAAGTTTGTCTCTACTGAACTTGTTATGTGCAGTTCTTGTCAGGTTTAGAGTTTAGGGTCTATGGTTTGTAAATTAGTTGAAAGATTGGAATGAAATCCAAGAAATATTTAAGAGGCATACAAAATTTCTTGGAGGTTTAGATCTGATTGAAAAGTCATATGGAATGAAATCCTAATTCTGGTATCATTATCAATCTAGGTTGTAGGATGAGATTGAGTTTCACAAAATCTTATTGAAATTGTTAACTCTGTTGGATTTTTTGAATTGGTTGAAACATTGTAATGAAGTCTGAGAAACCTTTGAAACTGAGGTTGGCATTGCCACTGTGGTAAGCTTACCACATTAAATCTTAATCAAGTATTTAGTTTAAAATCATCAGCTTTTCCTTTTCTATGTGTTACCCATGCATAATGCATCTTGCAATATCATTTTGTACCACTCATTCTTTTGCATCAGCAATATGTATTAATGTTCTGTAATATGTGCCTCTCTCATTCTATGATACGATGCTTTGCTACTTGACGCCAAAATTCTTTGAAAGTAAATTGATTCTTTCAAGATACTATTGTAGCTAATGAAGTGCATTTGCTTTTATTTTTGCAGTACCACTGGAACTCGAGATCCTATAACATCTGCATTACATATTGTCCTTGGCAAAAGGGTGTGCCTTGATATAGCTCAAGTTGTAAGATGGAAAACGACATCTACATCGAAGGATGAACCTTGTGTTCGCTATGCTGCTTCTTTTGCTGGGTAATTTGTTATTATTATTGTTGGATAGTTTGATACACATTGTTGAACTCATTTCCTAATAGATTAAGCTTTTGGGACAATTGGTGACTTAATATGGTATTAGAGTTCAAGATGGGGGAGGTCTTGGGTTTAAGTATCACTGTTTGCGTTTGGTTTCCATTTGCATGCTTTCTTCTGTCCTTTTTGTTATTTCTTTTTTCTATGAATGGATGTTTGCATCCTCATGTGCAAGACAGGGCTGCATGTGAGGGAGGATGTTGAATAGCTCGATATACATTTTTGGGCTCATTTCCTATCAGCTTAAGCTCTTGGAACAATTGATGACTTAACAATTACTAATTGCATACTGTAGGATAACACACAATGTCTTACGTATTTAATTGGTTTAAACTTTTATTTTATTTTTGTGGAAGTGTGTGTTTTGGCGTGCATACATGTGTTCTAGTGTTTTGACTTGGCTGGATCAAACTTTTCGTTGTTTTGGTTCCTCTTTTATCGTAGACGTGGCTTAACACCTGAACTAGCTTGATCATTAACTTAAATACATGTCTCCCTTTTGTGTGAATCTACCATCAAATTATGGCTAGTCAAGTGCTGGTTTATGTACAATTAATGACCATGCTCTTATCAAAGCATGCAGTGTAAAGTTCTACCACATAAATTGCACAGAAAAACCCCTTAGTTTGTCACTATTGAGGTTTTCAGCTTGTCACAATATGCACGAGGGCATATATAGTTATGATATCAGCCTTTGCTTGTTATCTCTTGACACTGTTCTCATGCTAGTAAGCCTTAAGTACTTTATGGTTTCATATCTAACTATATAATTAGAACCGATAATCTTTAGCGTAAGATTTACTTGACATCATGAGCATTAATGTAGTATTGCTGCTCATTCTTGCCTTTCCTTGAAGATGTTAATATATCTGATTATTATTGGTTTTTTATTTATTGGAGGTGTTATCTCCTTTGGTGGTGCTACATGCACCAATTGGTATATCAATCAGTGTACCAAAATATATTATAACATTATTATTGACCACACTCATTATACAAATTACAAATATCCAAAACCTCTAAAATTATGCCACATGTATTAATTAGTATACAAATTAGTACATATAGCATTATTCTATCTCCATACATTTGGTCATGTTCTTTCTCTAAGTGTGAAGATTTCACCCTGCGCTTCTCGATCTGCTGTCTTAGTAGGAAAGGAAACTTTATTTGGTTGATCTTTAATGTTATGAACTTATTATGATTTTCTTTCACCTTTATTAGTTTATTTCTCTTTGCGCAATTGCTCTATGCATTACTTTTTTTGCAGAACTTCGTAATCTGGCAAAATGTTACATCATGCCCTTGCTTCTATGATCCTATCAAATGACATTTTATTAGAGTTTGTTTAAAATTTTGTACAAGTAAGCCTAACCCTTTCATATATTTCAACAACATTTAATGAAATATGAAATCCCATCTGACCTCAAGGTCTTTCTTGTCTTTATGATGGAGAAAAACTGTGGCACTTTTGCTTCTTTGATTCTTTAGAGTTAGTTTGCCCTGATTGTAGTTTTATAAAGTATGCCCTTCACACGGGTACTTTCTTAACTTTTTTAATTTTTAATTTTTATTTTTAACTATTAATGTTCTAGGTGAATATTATAATGGGTAATCAAAGAGTTTGTAGGGTTCTATTGACCCCCCATCTAATGGGGGACTAAATTGGGTGTACTTTTGTTTTTTAATCAGTCTGCTCAATATTATCAGGTATGGGTTTTATGGAGATGTCATTACAGAGAGCGAAAAGTATCGCTGGATGGGCCCAAAGCGATACGATTATGTAGGAACGATGGTGTTCCTAAGACACAGGTATTTCTCCTAGTAGACCATCTTTGCTTACGGTGTCATGTCGCAACCTTATTTTTATTATTTAGGACTTTTCATGCTTATTGGATTAATACAAAAATGTTGATGTTATTAAATTGAGATATGAATCGTGAATTAAAATTCTCTCTCTCTCTCTCTCTCTCTAAGTCATGAATCAAATCGAATTGTGAATTGTAAGATTGAGTAAAATTTCTAAAATAGGTAGAAAAATAAAGCGGGAACTACATGCAGGTGGGAGTTGAGAAAAAAAAATTACCAACACATGGAGGGGTGCAAGTGTCAGCCTTTCATTTGCATCCTATCACCGACACACTTGCACCACCCCTTGTGTGTTTGTAATTTTTTTTTCCAACTCCCACTTGCATATAGTTTCCCCCCTAAACAAATGTAGACAAGTAAAAATTAACAAAAAAAAAATTAATCTAAATTTCAATTTTTACACATATATTAGTGCAAAACTTGTTGTGAATGGTGACCACATGGTCAAGTAGGTCATGTACTTGCCTTGCCTTGCCTTTACGCCAAGAGATGTGGGTGCTATGTGTATTATATGTGTCAATGTGCATTGATTCACTTGAAAGTAACAATTAAAAAATTATAAATTGCAAGAAAATAAGCATTCAAGGTCCATAATACGAGAAGCTAAAGCCAAATTTGAATGATCCCGTTTGGTGCAACTTATTGTAAACTAAAAGCTTACAATAAAAAAGTAGAAGTTAAGAGCATCCCTTGTACATCTTTTCAATAATTAGCCTTTTCAGTTTATTTAAGCTATTTTTGCACCATAAGCTATAACCAGAAGTGACACCAAACACACTAGCACAGATTCCCCCCAAAAAAGCTATAAGCGGCCTCAGTAAGCTACACCAAACGGGGCTCATGGTCCTCGTAGAGAGAAGAAATTCTGTCTATTGAAAGTTGAGGGTTCAGAGCCCCAAGGGTCCAAGACAATAAGAAAAGGGGAAAGAGAGAAGGATGGTATAAAACAACGTTCAATAGATAGAATCAATGGTCATTATGAATCAATTGATTCACAGATTCAACCATTGATTCAGGCCTTTTGTTGATTCACCCAACCAATTCATGTCAATTAGGGCTTGAATCAACTCAAATTGTAAGCTTCAAATTGCAAATAATGCCTTTCAAACAACTATGTGCCGATTTGGCAATTAGGCCTTTTTAGTGGTTTTTTTGCTTTTTGGTTTTTTTTTAAGCGAAAAAAGTAAGTTTGTTTGGAATGGTTTTTTTAGTTGAATACATAGAGAGAAAAAGTGATTGATTGATGTGACATTTTGGCTTTTTTAGCTAAAAAGTTGATTGCCAAACGAGGCCTATATTCAACTTTATATAATTTGATGATAAAAACCACAAATGGTTGAATGGAGATATGTGAGTACTTAGTACTATTATTCAACTTCATCAGAAATCATGGAGATTGTATCTATCTATACATATGCTTATTTTGGTTAATTATTGCAGCATGTTTCTCTTTTGGGCCATGTTTAAGCTATTCCCATATCTTTTATAACTTACTAAAAGAAAAGACCATCAGGTGGGGTTGGTCCGTCAATTCCTGGTTTTTGGAAGGGTGGATTGGCTACAAACCTAACCTTTGGCTTTATAATCTTTTTTGCAAAAGATGGCTTCCTTCAAATGCAAACATGTGCTTTCATGCTTAGTTATTTTCTCGTAATACACCCATTTTCTTGGGTAATTATTCAGTACTCCCTAAACACCATGTGGCGTTGCTTATGTAGTGTCACGCCCCAATTTTCATACCCAAATGATAATACAATAATCATGGTTCTTTAAAGTAAAACTGAACGTAAATCTTCACGCTCGCAATACATGATTCAAATAATTCTCATGTGATACTACATTCACCTCAAATCAAGATAACATAAACAAATAAATACCCTCATGGGTTTACAAGTTTCCAAGGCTTAGGCCCGGTTACACAAATCGGTTATTCAAATCCACACAAGTATAGCCCTTGACTTACAAAACAGAGTCACGCAAAATGAGAGCATTGTGCTCCCTTTACACACACTTCCACGCCCTTAGTTAGGCGGAATCACCACATTCTTTCCTGTACAAAAATCTCGTAGGATGAGCATAAAGTCCAGTAGGAAATTCTTAACAAAGTATATACATTTTATACAAGTCTTAAGAGATGAATGCACATGCCATGCTATGTCTTGTTGCAAATAAATCATATCTTCATCTTTTGGAAATCATCATGCTTAATGATGCCATGCAATACCATTGTCCAAAACTTAACAATTTAATTTATGGGGCGGTAAATACAACTCTGGTAATCCCTAGGCACGTGTCTGCAAGTAGCATATACAAGTGCTACCAATTTGTCATTTTTACCAGTATTAACTGGAAGGCTCAACACCTATCCGTGCGAGTTTTTCGATCTTTCACCTGAGACACTTAGGCCAACTTATCAATTTCATCTGCACCACCTTTCAAGATTTACCACCGTATTTACTCCAAAAATCATTTCATGAAATCTTGTTTCACGGCATTCTTTTCTCAATACAAGTTTTCTAATCAAAATTCCAAAGCTTCTCATTATCAAACAAATTGATATGCAAATGTAATGATAATCAATGAAAATGCAACATTTCTTCCATGTTCAATTCTTCCACGCAACCTTACCATTGTGATCAAAATTCCAATTCCTCTTTCCAATGCCATTTCACAAGATGAATATATATATACACTTATATTTCAATTCATCCAAGGGACAACGTATTTTCTACACTTTGAGCATTCTCAACAACTTAGCCATTTCACGACTATAACAACATTTCCAAAATCACAATTCTCATACTTCATGAAACTCATCATTTATTTGAATACAATTACGACTTTTACAAAGCATTCATTTATTTGACGTCCAAGGTAAATATGACCTTTTCTTCCATAGTTTTTCAACATTTTTCAAAAATCTCAATTTCTAGGTTTTCTCACCAAAAATCATTCCTCTCCAAAATACTTGAAGAAATCTCATCAAAAACATCATTCATCAATCAATATAGTTCGAGGCCCTCAATTTCTATTTTAAAAGAAACAAAAGTAAACTTACTTTCAAAATCACTTGTCTCTTTAAATCAACAACCAATTTTTAAAAGCTATCAAAGGAGGATTTTGAAAATCATCTAGATCTTACAAAAAAACATATATATAACTCAACGAAAATCTCTATCTCAAGTTTGAAGAAGAATTGAGTAGAACCCCTAAATCAACAGTGTTGAAATTCGATCTTCACCGCACACAACGAAACCCTCGAGAAGTTAACCAACTTTGGTGAAGGACTTAGATCTAAATCCCAATGGATTTGAAGAAATCAAAGATCTTGTGAGGTTTTTGGTAGGAAATGTGGAAAGAAGGAAGATGAGATGTTTTTAGACAGAGAGAATATACAAAAGTGATACAACTTCAGCCCAAAAAGAGAAGAAAAAAGGAAAATTTTCGGATCCACCTACCTCCCGTACGTGCGGAGCCTACTCCCGCAGGTGCGGCGTGTGCTCCCGCACGTACGGCCAACACCTCCGCACGTGCAGCCCTTTTCCTCCGCACCTCACTCGCGCACCTGCCTTTTTAGCAGTGTGCAAGCTGCCATACCCTGAAATCCGCACGTGCGGCTTAGCCTCCCGCACGTGCGGCCCTGGTCCTTAGCCCAGAACTCATTCGGTTCGACTCCCAACGCTTCGGACTGACCTCGCACGCTCCGGAACAAATGAAACTCAACACCGGAATAAACAATGAACAAGAACTTTTGAGAAAAACATTTGAACACAACAACCTCAAACAATCAACAAGACTCCAAGTCGAAACCAACGCTCTAACAAGTGTAAACCCGAAGGTAAACAGAGAGGAACAAGAAACGCGCAACAAAACCGGTCGTCACATGTGGCGTTCCAAACCGATCATGTAGTGGAAAATTTTACTGATGGGATATGCTAATTCACCTTTGTTAGGCAGCTAGAAGACAAATGATGACCCTCTTAGTGTGTTTTGTGAGGGTACCATGTGGTCAATGCCACATGGGAGTATGTAATAATTTTTCCATTTTCTTTGGGTACTGCGAAGAACATGATGGTACTTTCCTCCGTTATATTTCCCCCCAGTAGTTTCACCTCATTAACTAATTAATTTAATTTTTTTTCTTTTTTCTGATATATTCAGATTACAATATGCCATATGTTTCCTGTCTTTTTAATTTGTGACATTTATTTTCCTCTTTCAGGTCATATGAAGCAGAAATAGCATACCTAGATGTTAAATCGGAAGAAACAAGTTCGGCTTCTGAGAAAGGTCTTCATAGTAGTAGAAAAAGAGCATTATGGGGTCTACCTAAAAAATCTGAAAGAACGGCTTGCCGTGTCAATTGTGATGCTTGTAACACAAAACCAATTTGCACATTAAGTTGTTCCATGCCAACACAGAACCCAGAAGATTCTGAATGGTTGAGATCCAAAGGGCGTTTTATTAGCATTGGTGCTGCTGTAATCTCTTGCCGAAATGAAAGAGCTCCTGATGGTTTGGTGGCTGATGCACACCTTTCAGACGGTTTCCTGCATCTTATATTGATTAGAGACTGTCCTCGTCCATTGTACTTATGGTAATAAAAAAGCCTCTCTCTCTCTCTCTCTCTGCGTGCATGTGCTAGTATGAAATCTTTAACAAAAATGCTAGAGGCCCCAAAAATTCTACCAAAAGTTTTACCAAATGTCTCATATGGGTGTGGGACCCGCATGGGACCCACATTGTGTGGGTCCCACACCCATGTGAGACATTTGGTAAAACTTTTGGTAGAATATTTGGGGTCTCTAGCATTACTCAATCTTTAAATCTCTTGGGTTGTGATTGCTGCCTCATTTAATTACATTGATATCTGCCATGAGGTTTCTTTTTTTTCATTATATTATTGGTTATGTGCTCTTGGCAAGAGGGACGGATTTACTTTGGGATCAGGGGGTCATTTTTCATATTTATTTTTTATTTTTTTGTGTGCTTATGCATGTTACTCAGTCTTGGGTAAAACTCAATCCCAAAAATTAGTTGTTGAGGTGAGAGTGTCTTCACGCTTATATACTTTACATTACTTTAGTACCTAGGTGATGTGGGATTTCGCTTCACAATGCACATACAAGATTTCACTTATGCATGTTACATGGTCCTGACTCCGCCATTGCTTGGCAATATGATTGCCATTTCTTACTTCTATTCTTGCCATCCAAACAGGGCCTAAAATTTATATACAAATCATTGTTGGTTAATTTCTGCAGGCACCTTACACAGCTGGCAAGGAAGGGAGGGAACCCCCTGAATTTTGAGTTTGTGGAGCACCATAAAGTAGGTTTTCTCACCATTTCATTTCCTCTAGGTTTATTATCTTCTAGTATTGTGACTTTTTGTTTTTGTCTTACGTATAGACTAGGGCTTTCACATTCACTTCTTTGGGCAAGGAGGAGAGTGTATGGAATGTGGATGGTGAGCTCTTTCAAGCACATAAACTCTCGGCACAAGTATTTCGAGGCCTTATTAGCTTATTTGCATCAGGCCCTGCAGTTTAAACTGAACATCTTGGGAAATAGTATCATCCTCAACGGTACCTTATTTATGATCTAATTTCGTTGTGTTGTATTATTAACAAATTTAATCAATATTAATTTTCTGGAACCACACATCAAACAGTGGTTTGTATTTGATATAGTTTTGAATATTCATGAGTTGGATAAGCTCTGTGAACTTTTGAAAGACGAAAACCTGTGCCTCTGGTGATCCATTTTTGGGACTCATGAGCCATCTGCCGTGGGATTGTAATATGTGTTTGATTGGATGGAAAGTATTTCTTGGAAAAACCTCTCTTTTTTTTTGAGAACACTTGTTTGTTGCTTTGGGAGCTACATGGTTACCTTTTTTTCTTCTTCTCTCTTTCTTGACTTTGAGTAACCTGTTAGATACGGCCACATATGAGACTATGGTTACCTTTTTTCTTCTTTTTTTTCTTTCTTTCTTTTTTGGAGTCACGTGATTACCTTGACCTTGACCTTGACCTTGAGGAACCCGTTAGATACGGCAACGTATGAGATGGGCAGAAAATTTAAAGAATAATGCTTGGGATTCTTTTTGGGGGTCACTTCCTCATCCCCTTTGTCATGTGACGGGTGGTGATTGGAGGAGCAGGAAAAAAAAGAAAAAGAAAAAGAAAATGTAACCAATGAGAGAGAGAGAGAGGGGGTCAAAGGGGGTGGGAGAAAAAGGGGGATGAATTATTGTTGAAATTTAAAATGATAAAATTAAAATTAACAATTCATCAAGAAATCACTCTCATGTTATTCTGATGGATAATTCTGTATAAAATTATAAAAAAAAATAGCAATTTTCAATGCAAAAAATAGAGGCTCCAAGGGCTTGGAGCAATATGGAATGGAACTAGCTAAATGTGGGTTGAGATAAATTAATAAATGTTAAAATAGAGGCTTCAAAAGTCTAATATTTTTATCTTAATTTTTTAATTTTTTGATTTAAAAAAAAGAAAAATTTTAACATTTATTAATTTATCTCAACCCACATATAAATGTTGAGGTTTTTTTTTTTTTTTTTTTAAATCAAAAAATTAAAAAATTAAAATTGAGATATTGGAGCTTTCACAAGGCTTGTGGGTTAAAATACTGTTTACATCAATTTCAACAGTAATAAATTTTATTTTTTTAAAATAATTTCATAGTCAACATGAATCTTATTTGATAAATCTTAATGAGAGAATTATAAAAATATTAATTTTATTAAAAACCAACATCTATATCAAAAGTAATATTATTTTGAAGTTTAATATTTTGATAATAATGATGTGTTGGATTTTTTAAGAATTTTTTTTTATACTAGTTCTTAATGCATTAAAATTTTATTACGAAGGGTTTTTGACATGAAGGAGTTTTGACCAAATCTCCCAAAAGGGCGTAGATTTGGTCAAAACCCCTTCATAATAAAACTTTAATGCATTAGCATAAAAAAATTTCTTTGAAAAGTCAAACACATATTATTATTATCAAAATATTAAACTTTAAATAATAGAACTTTTGATATAGATGTTGATTTTTAATAAAATTAATATTTTTAGAATTCTCACATCAAAATCTATCAAATAAGATCCATGTTGACTATGAGTTTTTAATTTTTTTTTTATTACCTTTAAAATTGATGTAAACAGTAACAGTAACATGTTACTCGATTTGACAGTTACTCTATTTGACAGTAACATGTTATTCTGTCTCACAGTAACATGTTACTTTGTCTGAGAGTAACATGTTACTTTGATTTACAGTAACATGTTACTTTGACAATATTGTCTAAGAAAAAAAAAAGAAAAAAAAGATATTTTACTTTATCCTTACTCAATTATGTGTTTTCTCCTTAGGAGGTTATGAAGCAAAATAAATTAGGCTGTCTTTTTCAGCAAACAAGGGTCCAGTGGAGGGGTTTTTGCTGAATTTTTCAAGCTTTTTTGACTTCTCTCATACCTACTGCAGCACCTTTTTCAACTTCTCCCATACACAATGGTTAGTGATGAGATTGTTAAATTATTTTTATAAAAAATCTATAAAAAAATTTTTTTTGTATATTAAAAAAATATTTAAAACAAATATAAATTTTTATTAAAACATAACAGGTTGCAATTGTGAAAAAAAAAAGAGAAAAAAAGTTACATTGTGCATTTCATTAATAATGCTAAAAAAACGTGCCAAGTGTTTGTATAAATGCTTGACAAATGTCAACTCTCAAATTATTAAGTAAAAATAAATAAAATCAAAGAACTCAGCTTTAATGACTAACAAATATTAGAAGTCTGACCATTGAAACCTAATAACTATTAATTAATAGAATTTAGCAATTGAAATGTCTCAAACCACATTCAATGTGTCTTCCCAAATGTTTCCTTTTTTGGTTCATGCATTCATTTTAATATTGATAGATAATTGGACGTGTGAAAGAATGAGAGACATTAAAATTATATATTGAGTTATGTAATTATTGTGATGAAAAATAAATGTTGTTTTTCCCTTCTATGTCGATTTATCTCATTATACATTCAATTAAAATGTCAGGTGTGCTTTTACATCATTATTAAACGTTGCTTTTATTTTTTATAGATATTTTGTCTCATAATTGCTTGTGTTATGAAATTTATTACATCTGTGTTTGCTAAAGCTATTAGATGGACCTAATACGAGAAATGTAGAATATTTCAATGTCATTCTCGAGATTTGAAGTACAAAAAATATACATAAAAAGTATATGAATAGACAAGATTTTACAAAATTTATTTGTGAGTCTCACTTTTTAAAAATCTTATAATTCATTTATTTTTTGTATTATATTTTAGATTTGGTTTCTTTACCTTTTTATTTATTATTTATATATATATATATATAGTTTTCTTTGTTTTCTTTAAAAGTTTATTTTTAAAAATTAAAAATTAAATAAGTAAATCATTTTCTATTTCAAACAATTTCATTTTTTGTTTTTATTTTTTATTTTTTTTTAAAATAGTTTTAGTTTTGGGCAATTACTTACTTTTTTCTCTATGTGTTATAATTTTGTGCATTTTAAGTATATGATATTTTTACTAATACACTCGGAGATGCACTATGAAATAAGTATCATGCGAAAATCAAGTAAAAAAAAGAAAAATAAATAAAACAATACAATGAATGTGGAGCAAAGATCAAAAATCAAAACTCCCAAAACAAGCACCTAAGCAAACAAGCAAGTAAAATAAAATGTTTAACAATAGACATTTGAAAATTTGCAACAAAATTTTATAACTTTCCTTTTTGCTAAGAAAATTCTATTTGGTACTAACTAAATAAAATCCTTTTAAAATAATTTTTTTTTTTAAATTTAAAATTAAAACTATAGTAAATATATGTAAGCATAATTGCTAATTATAATGTATAATATTAAGTATTTATATAGAAGTAAAAAAATATCGGTAGGAATAAATTTTTCCTTAATTTAGTTATAATTTTGTCCGTATATTATTTTTAAATTTTGAATAAAAAAAATATAAAATAATTGATTGAAAATATGTTACATTTGTTAAATTTCTTTTTATGTGTGAAAAAAAAAATTTAAAAATTATAATTTACATAAATACAAATAATTATAAATATAACTCGCATATTACACGGATGAAACACTAATTATTTTTAACTAAAGACTTGACACAGTCCAAGTCTCTTTCCCAACTTGACTTTTAATTTGGAATTTGGCTGATTCCAAAAGACTTGCTTTGGGATTTCCAACCACTTCAATGTTGACAGCTGTAATCTATTATTGCATTTTGACACCAAGGTCATCTCTCTCTCCATACATATATTCTCACCAAACACCACTAGCACCACTAGCATTTACAATGTCTACACCATCACAGTAAGCGCCCTCTCTCTCTCTCTCTCTCTCTTTCTCTCTCTCTGTGGTTGGAAAACTTGTATGATTTGTAGTATAAGGTTGTTTTTTTGTAGCATGGATGTTCAATATAATTGAACCTAAGTTAATGTGATTGAATTCTTGGGTTATGGAGTAAGATGGAATGTTTTCTTTTATTTTTTAGTTGTCTAGATTTACTATTTGAATTCTTTATACGGATTTTCATTTATTGTTTTCCATTTGATCTGAATTACTTGAAGTTATATGTTTAGAGCTTGTATTCCTTATTAATGATAATTCTTGCTGTTCTTTAAATAAATAAATAAATAAATAAATAATCTCCAATACAGAGAGTCAAATGTACATAATCTTAATATGCAAAAAGACTGTTTCTCGTGGGGCAAGTGTTTCTCGTGTTTTGTGTGCCATTCTGGTAAAAGGTATGTGAAGTTTTAGTCTAGATGCTTTATTTCCTTTTTGAGTTCTTTTTAGAACTGGAAGGCATGAGAAATGAAAGCATTCCATGTAATATAAATGGAGGATTTAAAAAACAGTCCAGTGAGCCTCTCTCTCTAGGTGATTTTTGTTCCGGTAATCTATTTTATATTTGGGAAATTTGGTTATAAATCCCCTTTACCTTCCTTTCATTGTTAGAAGGACTAAGAAAAAAATTATACTTTCTAAACTCCCTCATAATTATAAAATCTTGCATAAAAGATAAAATTTATTATTTAAATATTTTATCAGACTATTATACCCTCACATATACACAATCCAGATACAAAATTTATCTTCTCTCTCGTCTCTCACTTCTAACCCTAGCTTCCTCCATGGTTGGAGCTGTGTCATTCCTAAACTCCGACGATCTCTCTCTGCATCTTCTCAACTCTCATCCTTCAACTGTTCATCTTCTATCTCGTCTCTCTCTTCTAATCCTAGCTTCTTCCATGGCCAGAGCTGTGGAGAACTTGCAAATCGCGCTGATACATATATATATATATCTATATATATGTGTGTGTTTGTGTGTTTTGAGATTTGAATTCGAATATATAGATTTTTGAAAGCTCAAAGTTTTAAAAATCTGAAAAATCTGTAAAATCTGAAGAACCGGGGTATGAAAAATTGAGATTTCTCTAAAATTTTCAGATTATAGGCCTGATTCAAGGATTATAGGCATGATTCAATGTTTTTCAAAGTAAACATCGATTGATTCAAGGATTATAGGCCTGATTCAAAGCTCAAAGCTTTTTATACAGAGTAAAATTTTACTTTTAGCTTCAGAATCTTACAGTTTACTTATTTTTCAGAGTAAAATTTTACTTTTATACAGAGTAAAATTTTACTTTTATACAGAGTAAAATTTTACTTTTATACAGAGTAAAATTTTACTTTTATACAGAGTAAAATTTTACTTTTATACAGAGTAAAATTTTACTTTTATACAGAGTAAAATTTTACTTTTATACAGAGTAAAATTTTACTTTTATACAGAGTAAAATTTTACTTTTATACAGAGTAAAATTTTACTTTTAGCTTCAGAATCTTACAGTTTACTTATTTTTCAGAGTAAAATTTTACTTTTATACAGAGTAAAATTTTACTTTCATACAGAGTAAAATTTTACTTTTAGTTTCAGAGTGTAAAATTTTACTCTGAAATATATAGTGAAAATGTCTTAATAGGAGAGCTGATAGATATGAGGGTAATATAGTAAAAGACACAAGTTTTAAAATATCAGGGAGTTTTGAAAGTACTTATATAATTCTTGTCCTTTTGAAAGAGAAATTAGATAGTGAGGGGGTTATGACCAAATCCCCCTTTATACTTTTAATGTGTGGATTTACATTCCTATAGTATAGATTTACAATTTTAGAGTGCAAATCTGGACTTTTTATGTCTGAAATAAGAATTTTGAGAGTTTTCTTTTTCGATTTTGGCATAGATTTTTAGTTTTTCGATACCCATAATGGTCCCATTCTCTCTCAAGCATTCTCCCATACCATTATGGGTGTATTTCCTTCTCTGGCAGTGACAACGGCGAAGTTGGACAGTAGCGACCGGGACGGTAGGCTTTCAAGCAAATCTTGCTTTTTAGACCACATCTTTGAGTTGATCGGTAGTTTTTCGCAGATCATAGCTATTTTTTTTGGCGGATTTGTTTTTTTGTTGTTGGTTTTTTGTTTTATTGTTTGGTTGAGATGACCCTTTGGGATCTTATTTATGTACTGTTATTATTTTATTAATATAATGTTTTCTATATTCTCAAAAAAATAAATTTAGGATTTCCTCCCGTCCAAAATTTAGATTGGAGGGGGTTGTTTTGGTCAGTGGGGCTCATTACGGGACATGTTTTAATGATTCGAACCGTTTCTTTTGTTAGACACTACATGCATTTCATTCACAAAGGTTAATCTGATAATTATAATCTATTCAATTTACTGTATTTTTCACTAAACAAAGGACAACAATTGTATTTTTAAAAAACGAAACATACTTTTTTTGATGACAAAAATAATAAATTAAACAAGTAATAATTATCAGATTGATCTAATTTTATTTTTTTTGGATGAAATACACAAAATGCCCGATAAAAGGAATAGTTCGGATTATCGAAACGAGTCCTGTGATAAGCCCCACGAGCTGAAACAATCCCCTCCAGGAGGGAATCCACCTCCAATTTAAATAGGGCTAATTACATCCTAGCGGAAGTTCGAAAAAAAATAAATACATATTGATGAAAAAGTTTATAATTTTAATTATAGATAAATTATACTTACACCCCCTGAGATTTGAGTTTAATACATATTATCCTTAGACGTTTATGAAATTACACTAACCCCCTTGTCATTATAATTATTTAAACGGAATAAAGACATTGAACTCATGCACTCTCTCTTTTCTTGTTTTGCTTTGCTTTACTTTGTTTTTTTTTCCTCTTTCTTTTTACTTTTTTTTTTTCAATGTAATTTCTTATATTTTTCTATTAGGAATTGTTGTCTTTTATATAAGTAGAGGAGTTTATGAAATGAGACTATTAACCATAGGGGTGAAAATATAATTTCGAGAACGTCAGGGGGTAGAATGTAATTGGACCAAACCTCAAGGCTGTCAGTGTAATTTATCCATTAATTATCAATATTTATAAAATTTTTCAATAATTTATAATTATTTTTTCAAAATTTCCCTGTGATATTTCTCTATTTAAATACACTGTTCATATCTTAGGTCTAATTTGTCAATTATACATTTTAGTCAAAAAGTCATTATAAGTTGTCAATTATACATTTTTTACATATCTTTTTGTAAAAAATTAAAAAATTACTAAAATAACCTATTTCTAAATGAGGCTTTAGCAAACCCCAAAATAAAATGCAAATGTTAATGTTCAAAATCATTGCTATTCGTCCAACTAACAATAAAAAATTTATTTATTTAAAAAATAATATTTATGATGGCGTCGAAGAGATCGGTTTTGTCCCATGTATTAGCCTAAGCAACATTAATTATTTTGTGTCTTTGTCTAAAAGTAGGGGTAAACAGTTTAGTTTGATCGGTGTTGACGGCATATTTAGTACTAAACTGATTCTTTTAAAATTCTTAGTTGAGAAATTGATACAAACCTCATGTCATGATTCAGTTTTATCGATTTTGTCAGTTTGATACAGAAGAGAAAATTGCATGAGATTTTAAAAGTTTTACAATAAATTATAGAACTTTACATTGAAAATAAATTTAAAAAATATATGAAAATTATTCTAGAAATGTTTTTCTCCTTAGTTTTTATCACAGAAGTGTATTATCTTAGTTACTTATCATATAATATTCAAGAAATTATAATATAAAAGTATTTAAAATATAATATTCGATCAAATCGTTTTTTCAGTATAAAAGTTTCAAAATCGAAACAGACTGTATATTATGAAAAACAGATCAAAAACTAAAATTTCGATAGATTTTGATGTTGGATGATGTTAATGACACGCAAATAAATGTTGACAAGGACATTATTTTCACATAGAAACCACTATTTTGTGTATTGTTCTCTCAATTAGTTAGAAAAAACTTTCACCATCACCTCCTTCTTCTTTCACCTTTTCATCAAACGCAAACCAGTTATCATTGAATCACTTATTTTACTCTTTCTTTTTTTTTTTTTTTTTTTTTTTTTTTTTTTTCATTTTTAAATCTTACAAAATTTGAATCAAGGCACAAATAACTTGCAATAACTCCTATCAAACAAGTGTGAACAGTTCATTTTTTTTACCCTACGTGGAAGAAAGAGTTGTGTGTGGGATTAGAGCCACCCAAAAACTTGAAGAATTTCCAAATTGTATTTGGCTTTTGATCACTACTCGCATTTTGCAACAAATGGTGATATACTTCAAAGGTTACTTAAAAAAGTGTCACCCCCCACATGAGATCCAACATGCTGCCACGCCACGTGTCCTTTAGAATACCACAATGCCATGATGCCCCACGATGCCCTCATAGGACTAGGGTTTGCTTTGGTACCATTGTAACGCCCTCATCCCGAGCTGTAACAATATTATTCTCATTCAACTATGTTTTTATGACTTAAAATGTGTCGTTATCATAAAAGGATATACACGTCGTTAACTGTTGATCTGTGTCTTTCTTTGGTTGTTTTGATTGGTTTCTCACCAATCTTGAGTCAAATGCTAACAAATGATTGTGCTTCCTTTGCGGTGCCAACTTAATTGGGATTGTAGAGGTTAGTTATGATGCTCTGTGCATTTCCCTACTTGTTGATATAAAATTTACATGTGTTTTTTCTTTTTTCATTAATAAAATTTTGTTTTGCTGATATAAAAAAGAAAAAGAAAAAGAAAAAAAAGAGACAATATGTTTATGAGCACCCGAAGACAAAACTAAACAATTTCATTTCGTGTGCATTTCATGCTCTTTAATCTATTGCCATTAATTAATATCTGGGAAAACCCATAAATTACATCTTTTTTTTTCTTTCTTTCATTAATATTTTTGTTATATAATTGGATTGAATTCCCTTATAAAGAACAATAATTGGGTGGGATTTTATCAATTCCAATTGATATTTTATGTGATCATACATTCAAAATACATTTTTCACATTTTCAGATATTATCGAGATTTACCACCAATAGCCAAGGCGTATGGCGTCGTCTGTTTAATGACTTCGGCTGCCTATCATCTGGAACTTTATGATCTTCGCATTATAGCACTTTTTTACGGAAAAGTTCTGAAAAATTTTCAGGTATCAAAATGTGGTTTAAATTTTTATTATCGCTCCATTTGGATGCTAAAAAATTGTTAAAAACAGACCCAAAAAAAAAGAAAAAAAAACGAATAGATGTAGTGTAGGATGATTTTCTACAAAGTATGTTTTTACAGTTGTAAATGTAATGTTGCTTTGATGTTTGTTGATATGCAGATTTGGAGGCTCATCACAAACTTCTTCTTCCTTGGGCCATTTTCATTTACATTTGCATTTCGACTTCTGCTAATGTAAGAAATTAATGAAAACACATTTGTTTTGTTGTTGTATTTCATCCATTTTGAGTAGGGCTAAAAACAAATTTATTTGAATAAAAAACTTTGGGAAACCTTTAGGTACACACTCTCATATGCACTATTGTTACGTATTTTTCTTTTTTTTAATAGAATTACGATAATTTATAGTTCATAAATGAAATTATGCATTTTGTAATAATATTATTCATTTTTGTGATAATGTTACACAATTTTTTTTTTTATCCCATCATATTTGAGCCACAAAAATAGGTAATATTATCACAAAAATACGCAACTTCACTTCTCAACAATAAATTATCATAATTCTACTAGAAAAATGCGTAACATTTATCATAAAATGTGTAACATACACCACAAAAATGCTTAATAGGATCTATATGTTACACACAAAATTTCCCAAAAAAAATTTCTACTTTTGAAATGTAAAAAACAATTTCTGAATTAAATTTTGAAAAATGCTAAAAACTGCCTTAAGGGCTGTTTTTATTGTTGCAAAATATGTATAAAAATTGCAATGTGTAAAACAATTTATAAAAATATATAAAAGTATATTAGGATAAATAAAATTGTATTGAGATTATAACTAATTTGACATTTTATATTCCTCATTAACCATTCTTAAAGCTGTTATTAGCAATACCTTTAATTTTTTACCAACACTACTAATCCACCACACTACCACCAATGCCATCACCGTCGCTACTGACCTCACCGCCACTAACACCACCGCTTTCAAAGCTACAACTAAACATTAAAAAACATCAAAAATACTTTTTAAAAATATATATTTTTTATAAAAAAAAAAAAAAAATTCTGCCAAAATGAATCATTATATCTAATCAAACTTTTTTGCGCGCTTGATTTTCTCAGAGCAAGGCATGGAGTCCAACTCGAAAGGGGTCCCTTTGACAAAAGGACAGCAGATTATCTATGGATGTTCATCTTTGGCGCCCTGTCACTACTGGTATGATAGACAATTAAACTTATGTCTAAATTACACTTCTCACCTATATAATTTATTTCAAATTCACTTTAATCTCTGTTCTTTCAATTTGAGTAATTTAATCTCCATACTTTAAGTTCAATTTAAATTTAGTTATTCTGTCGAAATTATCGTTATTTTTTCCATGCATATATTTCAAGAGACTAACATTTGTCACGAAATTATTAATTTTAACGTCCAATTTGAATGGAAAAACTAAATTAAAACTGAACTCAAAGTGTAAAAAACCAAATTGTTCAAATTAAAATAATAGAAATCAAAGTAAAATTTGAATCAAACTATGTGGATAAAATATGTAATTTAGCCCTAGTGCTAGATGATGAAAAATAATCCAGTTTTTCCATGAAAATATAAATTAATTATAGAATCGGACACATAATACTAAAATGGATAAAATTTTACAAGGTTTGATAGTGGGATTTACTTTGAAAAATATTATCAATTTATATACATTTTGGTTTTATTTGAGAACGTTTACTGTTTACTATTTACTATTTTTTATTTACAAAAAATATTAAACATAAACATATTTTTGGTAAAAACAAAAACAAAAACACAATTGGTACACATGAGTTTTTCAATTTTTTTTTTTTTGAAAATAAGTGTGGCCAATTGACAATCACATATATTATGGCCGGATGTGGTTATTGGCTACATAGATGTGGTGATCAAAGGTTGTTGTTTCTGGCCATTGAAAATGGTTGGCAGTGATTAGAGATGGTTGTCAGACATCAAAGGTGGTGGCTAGTGGTACTGGTTAGAGGTGCTTGTCCAAGGAGGTAGCCGGAGATGGGGTGGACGGTGGTGGTGAAAGAAAAAAATAAATAAAAATTCTTGAACAAGTGAAATCAATTTTTTTATGGTTAAAAAATTTAGTAAATTGTTTACAAGATTTTTAAAATTAAAATAGATATCAAATAATTTTTTGTTTACAGTTTTGTAAATATGAATAGAAAATTGTAAAAATAAAAGGCATAATAGTGGGTTTGGTGTGATTAATTAGGTGATGGCAATTGTTCCACTCCTATGGAGTCCATTCATGGGAGCTTCCATAGTTTTTATGATAGTCTATGTTTGGAGCCGCGAGTTCCCAAACGAGCGTCTTAATATTCATGGCCTCTTTCAACTCAAGGTATGTTTATGTTTATGTTATCTTTCCCTTTCTTTCGCAATTGCTATGATTATAAAGTAATGTTTGGTTGATTAAAATAAAATAAAATTGAATGATTATTGTATTAGAATATTCATTCTCATCTCACGTATCGTTTATTAAAAAAAGATGAAAAATTACATTTTAAGTGAAAGCATTATGCATTATTATAAATGAATGGTCCAAGATTAAGGAATGAACATTTCATTTTATTGAAGTGATTTAAACACAATAAAAGTTCTGCACAATTAAAAAAAAAAATTGGCTGACTTATTTTTTCAACTTCAATTTTTTTTTTAAAAAAAAACTTTGGATCAATTATTTTATGCTATTTAGGTATGTCTGAATTAGATTATTTTTTTTAAAAAATGAAAATTGACTCAATTTTTTTGATGAAAATGCCTAAAAAAGTTGCTTACTTTCATATTTAGTAGATTTTTTATATATAAAAAAAGTTTAAAATTATTTTTTATTTATTTATTTATTTTTTTTGAATAGTCTAGTCTAGACAAACCTAAATAAAATAATAGACATAGAGCTAAAAAATTTACAACAATAAATATAAGTTTAAGTTGTAGTTGAAAGACGAGTCGCCTAGCAAAATAAAAGCCAAAACAAGGTTTAAAAAAAAAAAAAATGTATTATATAAACTACCACTTATGTCGTCTTTAGTGGGAGATTTGAGAAAGAATTTGGAAAGAGAAATGGAAAATATAGTTGAAATATGAATAAAACATACTTATATTTCACCTAATTTCACATGCCTTTTCCATTTCTCTTTCTAAATCCTTCCTCAAATCTCTCAACCAAACAACATTAAATCATCTTGAGATGAGGGAATTGGCGTGGTTTGATAAGGTGCAGACTTCGAGTCTTGCAAATAATGAGGCTCTGATTAATGAGTCTTAGTTGGTTGATGGGTTGTGTGTGGTGGTGGGTGACAGGGTTTCTACCTACCATGGTATATGCTGGGAATAGACTTGATTCTTGGGAACCCATTGAAACCAGATCTGCTTGGCATGGCTGCAGGCCATCTCTATTACTTCTTGACAGTTCTCTATCCTCTTTCTGGTGGCAGATTCACCTTCTTCAACACTCCTCTCTGGGTGTATCCTTTCTTAGTTCTACCCTTTATTTCTATTTTGTGTAAATTATATTGTTACTTCTTTTAATTTGAACAAAGTTTTAATTTGGTCCTCAGAGTTTTAATTTGAACAATTTAAAATCTACACTTTCAATTTTGTTAAAAATTGTAATATGGTCCATCCATCACTTACTAGTAGAATTTTGAATTTTAAAAAAAAAAAATAGATAAAAAACTATGTGCAAAACTAGAAAGATTAAAGTAAAATTCAAAAGAAATTACAAGGACTATATCCCTCTAATTTTGCACATGGTATTTTTCAATTCAAAATGTCAACAACTTGTGATGGAGGGACAACATTGGAATAAAAATGAAAGTAGGAGGTTCAACTGTTCAAATTAAATCTACAATGACTAAAATAATATTTTGCATAAACTACGAGAGCTAATGATGTAATTTGTTCTTTTCTTTTTTTCTTTTCTTTTCTGAAGAATGCATCAACTTATGATACTAATTTCTGGAAATTTAGATTTAGACATGATAATGGTTTTTGAAATTTCAGCCAACTTTCCCATTCACTTGACTAGCAAAAACAATTTTGCAGTATTTGGATAATGAATCTAGATAGAAATTTAGTAAGGCAAAAAAAAATGGAGAAAAAAATTATGTTATATTTTATTCATGTTGTTCTCTTTTTAAATCTCTACTAAAATTTATGATCGAAAAAAGTCTTAGTACCTAATTTAAGAAGCATTTTTTGATCTCCTGTTTGGTGCTAAGCTTGGCCTAAATATGCCCAATGTAAGGATTGCCTCTTTGGATTTCAAATTGCGTAGTCTTAGTACCTAATTTAAGAAGCATTTTTTGATCTCCTGTTTGGTGCTAAGCTTGGCCTAAACATGCCCAATGTAAGGATTGCCTCTTTGGATTTCTCAATCACTACGCAATTTGACTGTGTTTTCATTTTTTGTTTTCAAAAACAAATAGAAAAAAAAAGTTTGAAAACACCCATCATTTTTATATTGTTTTCATTTTTGTGCAAAAAAACTTCTGAAAATTTTGAAAACTATTTTTCTTTTTTTGTTTCCTCAAAAAGTGGGCTGTTTTCATAAAATTTTTTGAAAAAAAAGTTTTCAGTGTTTAATTGAGAATTTTACAATTTAGCAACTATTATAACCATCTTAGTGTAATTTTAAAAAAATATTTACATATTAATAATAAACTTTACAACATTAAAAATAATTTTATATATTTTTTCATGTATCTAAAATTATTTTTTAAAGTTCTGCTACACTACTATTTTCCCCTTCTTTTTTTGTTGTTGTTGTCATTCTTATTCCTTAATGCCTGGTAAGTCACAAACTGGTTGTATTTTGGGGTGTGGGTTACCAATTAAATGCTCCGGTGCCGAAAAATCAACCAGCCGGAGTTGCTTTCCAGGGGAGAGGCCGCCGGCTCGATGGGAACAGAGCAATCTCTTCAACACAACCACAAGCAAATGCTGCATCAGAGGAGCAAACAAATGCTTCAGCTCAACGGAATCAAGATGATGGAGGAGGAGCTTTCCGGGGGAGAGGCCGCCGTCTCGATGGCTGGTAGCAAGTGGTTTTTGTCACTAATTATAATTATGTGATTACATATATGTAATACTTTGGCAAAACAAAGAATATAAATTTGATGTTGTTGTAACCAATTTTTTTTTTAAAAAAAGAAAGAACTTGCTAAATTATGGTAGCAAGTGGTTGTTTTTTTTTTTTTTTTTTTTTTGACTTTCCCACGTTGTTTTCTTTTCTTTTACTTTCTTGTTTTTGAATTACATGGTTAGCTTCACCTTGAGTAACCCGTAACCCGTCAAATACGGCAACGTATGAGACGAGCAAAAAATTTAAAATGATAAGGATATACAAATATAATATATAAATGTATATAATTTATTAAAAAAATTAACTGTATATAAAATTAATAATTCATCAAGAAATCACTTTCATGTCATTCTGATGGATAATTTTATATAAAATTATTAAAAAAAAAAATAGCAATTTCGAATTCAAAAAATAGAGGCTCCAAGGGCTTGAAGACAATATGGAATGGAACCAAGTAAGAGTTGATGATGGTCCCTCATTATTATTAACTAAAGACTTGACAAAGTCCAGGTCTCTTTCCCAACTTGACTTCCTGTTTAATTCCAAAAGACTTTACCTTTGGGATTTCCGACCACTTGAATGTTGATAGCTTTATGCTGTGTTTGGTTGAGAGATTTGAGGAGGGATTTGGAAAGGAACATAGAAAAGGTAGGTGAAATGTGAAAAAAATATACCTACATTTCACATAGTTTCACACACTTTTTTCCTTTCCCTTTCCAAATCCCTCCCCAAATTCCCCAACCAAACACAGCATTAATCTATTTCCAACCACTTGAATGTTGATAGCTTTAATCTATTTCCAACCACTTGAATGTTAGCTATAATCTATTATTAATAATTACATTTTGACACCAAGGTCATCTGTCTCTCCATACATATATTCTCACCAAGCACCACTAGCACCACTAGCATTTACAATGGCTACACCATTGCAGTAAGCTCTCTCTCTCTCTCTCTGGCTGGCAAACTTGTATGACTTGTAGTATTAGGTTGTTTTTTTGTAGCTTGGATGTTCAATATAATTGAACCTAAGTTAATATGATTGAACTCTTGGGTTATAGAGTAAGATGGAATGTTTTCTCTTATTTTTTAGTTGTTTAGATTTACTATTTGAATGCTTTATAAGGATTTTCATTTTTTGTTTTCCATTTGATCTGAGTTACTTGAAGTTGTATGTTTAGAGCTTGTATTCCTTATTATTAATGATAATTCTTGTTGTTCTTTAAATAAATAGTAAATAGATAATCTCCAATAAAGATAATGTGCAAAAAGACCTTTCTCGTGGGGCAAGTGTTTCTCGTGTTTTGTGTGCCATCATGGTAAAAGTTATGCGAAGTTTTAGGCTCAATTTGGGAGGTTGGTTATAAGTGGCGTTTTGGCCAAAACGCAAAAAGTGACTTTTTTTGGCCATAAATTGATTTGGGATGTTGGTTATAAGCCAAAAGAAAAATTACGAAATTACCCTCCATAGATGGAAAATGAAAGGGTAAAAATGTGTAATTTTTCAATTGGCTAGGGATACTTTGGTCATTTCATTATGATTTGACATTATAAACAAATATTAATGAAAAAAGTCAAAAGTCACTTTTTACCAACTTCTCAAATCATTTGTCTAAAAAAGCCAAAAATTTGGTTAAAAGCCAAAAAGTCACTTTTTACCATCTTTCCAAAATAAGCTATGAGAAATGAAAGCATTCCATGTAATATAAATGGAGGATTTCCTCCCGTTCAAAATTTAGATGGGAAGGGATTGTTTTGGTTTGTAAGGATTATTATGGGATTATTTGAATGATTTGGACTATTTTTTTGTTAGACACTTCATATATTTCATTCATAAAAAAATTAAGTCAATTCAATAATTGTAATTTGTTCAATTTACTGTATTTTTTACTAAAAAATGACAACAATTGTGTTTTTAAAAAATAAACCATACATTTTTTTGATGATAAAAATAATAAATTAAACAAATTGCATTTATCGAATCAATTTAATTTTTTTTAGAATGAAATACACGAAGTGCTTGAAAAAAAAAAAAAAAAAAAGTTCGAATCATCAAAATGAGTTTTATGGTAGGCCTCACGAGCCGAAACAATCCCATCTAGTCCAGATTTTGGACAGGAGGCAATCCACCTCCAATTTAAATAGGGGTAATCACATCCTAATGAAAGTCCGGAAAAAAAAAATACATATTGATGAAAAAGTTTATAATTTTAATTATAGATAAACTACACTTACACCTTTTGAGATTTGGATTTAATACATATTATCCCCTGATGTTTATGAAATTACACTAACCCTCTATCATTGTAATTATTTAGACGGAATGAAAATATTGAACTTGTGCACTCTCATTTTTTTTGACTTTGCTTTACTCTTTTTTTTTTTTTCCCCTTTCCTTTGCTTTACTTTTTTTTTTTTTAATATAATTTCTTCTGTTTTTTTTACTAGGAGTTGTTTCATTTTATATAAGTAGAAGGGTTTGTGAAATGAGACTATTAACCATAGGGGTGAGAATGTAATTTTCAGAACGTCAGCGAATAGAATGTAATTTGATCAAACCTGAGGGGGTGTCAGTGTAATTTACCCTTTAATTATTAATATTTATAAAATTTCTCGTTAATTTATAATTATTTTTTAAAAATTTTACTGTGATATTTCTCTATTTAAATACAATGTTCATATCTTAGCAAACCAAAAAGTAAAATGCAAATATTAATGCTCAATTTCATTGTTATTCGTCCAACGAACAATAAAAAATTTATTTATTTAAAAAATAATATTTATGATGGCGCATGGGCCAAAATCAACATCGAAGAGATCGGTTTTGTCTCATGTATTAGCCTAAGTAACATTAATTATTTTATGTGTCTTTGTTTAGTTCAATCGGTGTTGAAGGCATGTTTAGTATTAAATCGATTCTTTTAATTTTTATAGTTGAGCGTATGTTATAATTCAATTTTGTCGATTTTATCAGTTTGATGTAAAAGAGAAATTTACATAAGATTTTAAAGGTTTTATAGCAAATTATAAAATTTTATATTGAAAATAAATTTAAAAAATATATGAAAATTGTTCTATAAATATTTTTCTCGGTTTTTATCACAAAAGTGTATTATATTAATTATTTATCATATAATGTTTAAAAAATTATAATATAAAAGTATTTAAATATAATATTCAATCAAATCGTTTCGTCGGTATAAAAAATTTTAAAACCGAAACAGGCTATATATTATAAAAAAAAAAATATCAAAAACTGAAATTTCGGTTGATTTTGATATTGAATGATGTTAATGGCACGCAAATGAATGTTGACAAGGACATTATTTTCACACAGAAGCCACTATTTTGTCTGCTGTTCACTCAATTAGTTAGAAAAAGCTTCGCCATCACATCCTTCTTCTTTCACCTTTTCATCGAACACAAACCAACACAAACCAGTTATCATCTAATCACTTATTTTTCTTTTTTTTTTTTTTTTTTTTTTTTTTTTTTTTTAATTTTTAAATCTTACAAAAAATTGAATCAAGGCACAAATAACTTGTAATAACTCCTATCAAACAAGTATGAACAGTTAATTTTTTTTTTTTTTAACCCTATGTGGAAGCAAGAGTTGTGTGTGTGGGATTAGAGCCACCCAAAAACTTGAAGAATTTCCAAATTGTATTTGGTTTTTGATCACTACTTGCATTTTGCAACAAATGGTGATATACTTCAAAGATTACTTAAAAAAAGTAATAAGCTAATTTCAAAGTGTCACCCCCCACATGAGATCCACCATGCTGCTACGCCACGTGTCCTATAGAATACCACAATGCCATGATGCCCCACAATGCGCTCATAGGACTAGGGTTTGCTTTAGTGCCATTGTAACACTCTCATCCCTAACTGTAACAATATTATCCTCATTCCACTAAGTTTTAATGACTTTAAAATGCAATCATAAAGGGATATTAGTGGGTGGCACTCAAAACTTACTTATGTAGTGTATAATAATATTTTTATTTTAATATATATAAAGTTATCACGTAATATGAAGAGAAGAATATTTTACTAAATCAATTTAAACATTCACTTAATAATAGTATTAATAGATAGATAGTTGATATAGTTCCGAAACTTTTCCTACCTAATTAATGAGACAATATGTTTACACAAAGCACACCCAAAGACAAGACTAAACAATTTCACTTCATGTGCATCTCATGCTCTTCAATCTATTGCCATTAATTTCTGGGAAAACCCATAAATTCTCTGCTACAAATTCTTACATCTTTTTTTTTTCTTTTTTTCCTTTCTTTCTTTCATTAATATTCTTGTTATATAATTGGATTGAATTCCCTTATAAAGAACAACAATTGGGTGGGATTTAATCAATTCCAATTGATATTTTTATGTGATCATACATTCAAAATATATTTTTCACATTTTCAGATACTATCGAGATTTACCACCAGTAGCCAAGACGTATGGTGTCATCTGTTTAATGACTTCGGCCGCCTATTATTGGGGACTTTATGATCTTCGCATTATAGCACTTTTTTACGGAAAGGTTCTGAAAAATTTTCAGGTATCAAAATGTGGTTTAAATTTTTATTATCGCTCCGTTTGGATGCTAAGAAATTGTTAAAAACAGACCCAGAAAAAAAAACGAATAGATGTAGTGTAGGATGATTTTCTACAAAGTATGCTTTTATAGGTGTAAATGTAATGTTGCCTTGATGTTTGTTGATATGCAGATTTGGAGGCTTATCACAAACTTCTTCTTCCTTGGGCCATTTTCATTTACATTTGCATTTCGACTTCTGTTAATGTAAGAAATTAATGAAAACACATTTTTTTTTTGTTCTTGTATTTCATCCATTTTGAGTAGGGCTAAAAACATATTGAAAAACAAAAATGCTTGAGACCATTAATTAGTAGTGGCACTAATGATGTGGCACTGCCACAGTGTTGTTGTACCCTATTTTTTTTTTTTTATTTTCCATCTCAGTAGTGGTGATTTAGTGGTACCAATCACTACTGATTGAAAAATGTTTCATACCACTAATTCAACACCACTAATGTACCACTAATGACATGACATCATGTGGACCCTACTATTGATGTGATAGTTTGGGTTTTTTTTTTTTTTTTTTTTTCTTGCACTTGCCAGTTTTTTTTTTCTTCTTGCCCTTGCCAGCTCATTAGTGGTGTTTTTAGAACTACTGATTTAGTACTCTAAATCGGAACTGTTTATCCAAATATATTTGAACCACAAAAATAGGTAATATTATCACAAAAATACGCAACTTCACTTCTAAACAATAATTATCATAGCTCTACTAGAAAAATACGTAACATTTACTACAAAATGTGTAACATACACTACAAAAATTCTTAATAGGGTCCATATGGTACACACCATTTGTACCATGGAATTCCCCCCCCCCCCAAAAAACCCCAAAAAAAAAAAAATTATACTTTTGAAATGTAAAAAACAATTTCCAAATAAAATTTTGAAAAATGCTAAAAACTGCCTTAAGGGCTGTTGTTATTGTTGGAAAATATGTAAAAAAAATTGAAATGTGTAAAACAATTTATAAAAATATATAAAAGTATATTAGGATAAATAAAATTGTATGGAGATTATAACTAATTTGACATTTTATATTCCTCGTTGACTGTTTTTAAAGCTGTTATTAGAAATACCTTTAATTTTTTTACCTACACTACTAAACTACTATACTATAATATATAAGAGTTTTAGAGAACAAAATTTTTAGTTCCTAAAAGTGAAAATTTTGTTGCAGAAGACATTTAGAGAACAAAATAGGTAAATCGCTAAAAGGTCGTCCCGAAAAGTCAAAAATATTTAGTGACAAAATTTTGAAAATGTCACTAAGGACAAAATAATTTGGCCTCAAAAAGGTTTATTTTTTGAGACAAAAAATTTGGTTCCAAAAAGATAATAATTCATCACAAATTTTTAATTTTTGTTGCTAAAAATATAATAACGACTCTTTTCGCATAAAAAATATTTAGTCTTTATAAAATAATTTTGTCTCTAAATTTTAGTTTCTAAAATTTTAATTTTTTGTAGTGCCACCTCTACCACACTACCACCAATGCCACCACCATCATTGCTGTGGTCACGCCACTAACACCACCACTTTCGAAGCTACAATTGAACATAAAAAAACATCAAAAATATTTTGATCATTTTTTTTTTTTTGGGTGGGTATATTTTGATCATTATCTAATCAAACTTTTTTGTGCGCTTGATTTTCTCAGAGCAAGGCATGGAGTCCAACTAGAAAGGGGACCCTTCGACAAGAGGACAGCAGATTATCTATGGATGTTCATCTTTGGCGCCCTGTCACTACTGGTATGATAGACAATAAAACTTATGTCTAAATTACACTTTTCACCTATATAATTTAATTCAAATTCACTTTAATCTCTATTCTTTCAATTTGAGTAATTTAATCTCCCTACTTTAAGTTCAGTTTCAATTTTGTTATTCTGTCAAAATTACCTTTTTTTTTTCCATGTATATATTTCAAGAGACTAACATTTGTCACAAAATTATTAATTTTAACTTCCAATTTGAATGGAAAGACTAAATTAAAACTGAACTCAAAGTGTAAAAATCAAATTGTTCAAACTAAGAAGTACGGACACTTCTAAAAAGATAACATATCTGTGTCGTGTCCATGTCGGACACCGACACTCTTTGGACACTTCCCCGACACGTGTCCAACACTCTTCAAAATGTGTCTTATTTTTTAAAAACCCAGACACTCTTTGAACACTTGGAGGACACACGTGTGTATCTCTTAAACACACGTATCTATCAATTAGACACATATGAAACTAATTATAAGTATAAATAAAACAACTTAAGATCTAATAATAAAACAAAAACTATATAAATTTATAGAGATTAGTGTCATATTGTATTTTTTATTATCTTTGAATGATATATTCACATATATAACATATAATAGCTATATAAAATTATATATTACATGCGTATCCCTCATGTGTTGTGTCCTGTATTTTTTGAAAATTAACGTGTCAGCGTGTCTGTGTCGCATCCTTGTCGTGTCACGTGTCCGTGTCCATACTTCTTAGGTTCAAATTAAAAGAATAGAAATCAAAGTAAAATTTGAATCAAACTATAAGGATAAAAAATATAATTTAGCCCTAGTGCCGAATGGTGAAAAATAATTTAGTTTTGCCATGAAAACATATATTAATTATAGAATCAGAAACATAATATACTAAAATGGATAAAATTTTACACGGTTTGATGGTGGGGTTTACTTTGAAAAATCTTATCAATTTATATACATTTTGGTTTTATTTGATAATGTTTACTGTTTACTATTTTTTTATTTACAACAACTATTAAACATAAACATATTTTTGGTAAAAACAAAAACAAAAACACAACTGGTACACATGAGTTTTTCAAATTTTGTTTTGAAAATAAGTGAAAGAGATGTGGCCAGTAGGACGTGGTAGCTGAAGATGGTTATTGACAATCACATATATTATGGTCAGATGTAATTATTAGACACATAGATGTGGTGATCAAAGGTTGTTGTTTCTGGCCATCGAAAATGGCTCGCAGTGATTGGAGATGGTTGTCATACATCGAAGGTGGTGGCCAGTGGTACTGGCTAGAGGTGGTTGTCCAAGGAGGTAGCCAGAGATGGGGGTGGACGGTGGTGGTGAAAGAAAAAAATAAATAAAAATTCTTAAACAAGTGAAATCAATTTTTTTATGGTTAAAAAATTTAGTAAATTGTTTACCAGATTTTTAAAATTAAAATAAATATCAAATAGTTTTTTGTTTACAATTTTGTAAATATAAACAGAAAATTGTAAAAGTAAAATGCGTAATAGTGGGTTTGGTGTGATTAATTAGGTGATGGCAATTGTTCCACTCCTATGGAGTCCATTCATGGGAGCTTCCATAGTTTTTATGATAGTCTATGTTTGGAGCCGCGAGTTCCCAAACGAGCGTCTTAATATTCATGGCCTCTTTCAACTCAAGGTATGTTTATGTTTATGTTATCTTTCCCTTTTTCGCAATTGCTATGATTATAAAGTAATGTTTGGTTGATTAAAATAAAATAAAATTGAATGATTATTGTATTAGAATATTCATTCTCATCTCATGTATCATTTATTAAAGAAAGATGAAAAATTACATTTTAAGTGAAAGCATTATGCATTATTACAAATGAATGGCCTGAGATTAAGGAATGATCATTTCATTTCATTGAAGTGATTTAAACACAATAAAAGTTCGGCACAATTAAAAAAAAAAAAATTGGCTGACTTATTTTTTCAGCTTCAATTTTTTTTAAAAAAAAAACTTTGGATCAATTATTTTATGCTATTTAGGTATGTCTGAATTAGATTATTTTTTTTAAAAAATGAAAATTGACTCAATTTTTTTGATGAAAATGCCTAAAAAAGTTGCTTACTTTCATATTTAGTAGATTTTTTATATATAAAAAAAGTTTAAAATTATTTTTTATTTATTTATTTATTTTTTTTGAATAGTCTAGTCTAGACAAACCTAAATAAAATAATAGACATAGAGCTAAAAAATTTACAACAATAAATATAAGTTTAAGTTGTAGTTGAAAGACGAGTCGCCTAGCAAAATAAAAGCCAAAACAAGGTTTAAAAAAAAAAAAAATGTATTATATAAACTACCACTTATGTCGTCTTTAGTGGGAGATTTGAGAAAGAATTTGGAAAGAGAAATGGAAAATATAGTTGAAATATGAATAAAACATACTTATATTTCACCTAATTTCACATGCCTTTTCCATTTCTCTTTCTAAATCCTTCCTCAAATCTCTCAACCAAACAACATTAAATCATCTTGAGATGAGGGAATTGG